CCGAGGCTGCATCTCTCGGCCACTACGTCATAGCAGGTCGTTCCAAAATAAAGGATCCTTCATATACAGCCTAGAAAAGCAGCCTACGCTCTGAGCGATTTCAGGGACGTATCAGATGGATCCTTATAGGCCTTCGGTTACCCACAGTTCTCCGCACATGAACGACTCAAAGGAAGCAAAACAGCCGTTGGAGCAGAGCTTGATTTAAAGTATAAGTTGTTCATTTCCTTGAACTCGTCTTCGTCACTTTATAAAGTGTAAAGTGACTGATTATTTAAAGTATTCGTGCATTTATCGTATATCGTCCCATATATCGTATTTTATTTAGAAGTATTTGTATGTATGTAGTTTATCGAACTACATAAGATCTTCTCCTTCATTTCTGTGGAGAAATGATAAAAGCAACAAATTGAATGCAGCGGCTCCGTTTTCTCTCACCAGCTCCCTCACGGGTTTGGCGCCGCTCTGGTGGCGTCACCATGCAGCCTTGTTAGGTCTGATCCATCTGTGTGACCAATAGGCTGCTGAGGAGGAGTCTTCACAGGACAGTCCTACTGAGGACCCGCACTACCTCGGCTGCAGCCCCGGCTTTGGAACGCAGCTATTGAGTGTGAATTTCATCATGAATGGACCAAAAGAAACGGCCCAATATGACTTCTAATAAAGTCTGGTTTTATTGACTCACATTAACAGTAAAGCGTGTTTTTCTCTCTCCTGTTAAGTTACCGTTATGGAGATACAGCAGTGATATACATTTACATATCCTTCATATGGTAACTTTACAAAGGACAAAACATTCTTAACTTTTACTGCATGTTGACATAATGAGGCTGTATTCTTGGATCATTTCTAACGGCCTATTCATCATGGAACGTTCACATGATGTAAACAGCAGCTGGTGTTTTCAAATGGTATAAAAAAAGTAACAGAAGTGCATTAAATGAGTTTTGATGTTTTGATATAGCAGTAATGATATATGACATATACTGTGCTGTATATGTGACCCCACATCCTCACAAAGTATAAAAACGTGTGTGTGTGTGTGCGCGTGTGTATATACATGTGTGTGTGTGTGTGTGTGTGTGTGTGTGTGTGTGTGTCACCCCCCGGCAGTAGAGCACTCTAGACTAATGATGGGAGTGTATGATGGGGTGAGCTGTACAGTGTGGGCAGCTACTCTCTGACCTCTATACTCTATACATGCACTTAAACACAGACAGGTGGTCTCACTCTCATACATGAACACACACGAACTGTTTGACATACAGTGTGTGACACAGCGGGGGGGCGGTATCAGCTTGGGAGCAGTTAGCAATTCACAGCAAATTACCCAGAGTGCTTTTCTGAGCTTTCCGCCCACTCCACAGAAACAGAGCACAGAACAACAGCAGCTACTACAGCTCTCAATATACAGCACAACTACAGTACAACTACTGCACAACTACACAACTACAGTTCAACTACACAACTACAGAACAACTACACAACTACAGTACAACTACAGCACAACTACACAACTACAGTTCAACTACACAACTACAGCACAACTACGGATCAACTACACAACTACAGCTCAACTACAGCACAACTACAGTTCAACTACACAACTACAGCACAACTACACAATTACAGTACAACTACAGCTCAACTACACAACTACAGCACATCTACACAACTACAGCTCAACTACACAACTACAGCACAACTACAGTACAACTACAGCACAACTACAGTACAACTACAGCACAACTACACAACTACAGCACAACTACACAACTACAGCACATCTACACAATTACCGTTCAACTACACAACTACAGTACAACTACACAACTACAGCTCAACTACACACTCATTATATAAGACAACTACACACCTACACAACTACAGCACAACTATACACCTACACAACTACAGCTCAACTACACAACTACAGCACAACTACACAACTACAGCACAACTGCACAACTACACAACTACAGCTCAACTACACAACTACAGCTCAACTACACAGCTACGGAACAACAGCACAACTACACAACTACAGCACAACTGCACAACTACACAACTACAGCTCAACTACACAACTACAGCTCAACTACACAACTATACAACTACAGCACAACTACACAACTACAGCTCTCAGAGACTTTAGGCATGAAAGAGGTAAAGGAGACACAATGAGAAGGAATAAGAGGAAAAGAGAAAAAAAGGAAAAGTGGGAGAGAGAAAGAGAAGGGATAAGAAAGAGAAAGAGAGAGAAAAAAGAAATAAAGAAGGAGACAAAGAGAGGAGAGAGAGGAGAGAGAGAGGAGAGAAAGAGAGGAGAGAAGAGAGAAGAGAGAGACAGGAGAGAAAGAGAGGAGAGAGAGAGGAGAAAGAGAGGAGAGAAAGAGAGGAGAGAGAGGAGAGAGAAGAGAGAAAGAAGAGAGGGAGAGAGAGAGGAGAAAGAGAGGAGAGAAAGAGGAAAAAAGAGAGGAGAGAAAGAGAGGAGAGAAAGAGGAAAAAAAGAGAGGAGAGAAAGAGGAAAAAAGAGAGGAGAGAAAGAGAGGAGACAAAGAAGAGAGAGAGAGGAGAGAAGAGAGAGAGAGAAGAGAGCAAGAGAGGAGAGAGAGGAGAGGAAGAGAGGACAGAAAGAGAGGAGATAAAGAGAGGAGAGAGAGAGGAGAGAAGAGAGGAGAGAAGAGAGGAGAGAGGAGAGAAAGAGAGGAGAGAAAGAGGAAAAAAAGAGAGGAGAGAAAGAGAGGAGAGAAAGAGAGGAGAGAAAGAGGAAAAAAAGAGAGGAGAGAAAGAGAGGAGAAAAAGACGAGAGAAAGAGAGGAGAGAGAGAGGGGAGAGAAAGAGGAGAGAAAGAGAGGAGAGAAAGAGAGGAGAGAGGAGAGAAAGAGAGGAGAGAAAGAGAGGAGAGAGAGGAGAGAGAAGAGAGAAAGAAGAGAGGGAGAGAGAGAGGAGAGAAAGAGAGGAGAGAAAGAGGAAAAAAAGAGAGGAGAGAAAGAGAGGAGAGAAAGAGGAAAAAAAGAGAGGAGAGAAAGAGGAAAAAAGAGAGGAGAGAAAGAGAGGAGAGAGAGAGTCAAGAGAGAGAGGAGAGAAAGAGAGGAGACAAAGAAGAGAGAGAGAGGAGAGAAGAGAGAGAGAGAAGAGAGCAAGAGAGGAGAGAGAGGAGAGGAAGAGAGGACAGAAAGAGAGGAGATAAAGAGAGGAGAGAGAGAGGAGAGAAGAGAGGAGAGAAGAGAGGAGAGAGGAGAGAAAGAGAGGAGAGAAAGAGAGGAGAGAAAGAGGAAAAAAAGAGAGGAGAGAAAGAGAGGAGAGAAGAGAGGAGAGAAAGAGGAAAAAAAGAGAGGAGAGAAAGAGAGGAGAAAAAGACGAGAGAAAGAGAGGAGAGAGAGAGGGGAGAGAAAGAGGAGAGAAAGAGAGGAGAGAAAGAGAGGAGAGAGGAGAGAAAGAGAGGAGAGAAAGAGAGGAGAGAAAGAGGAAAAAAAGAGAGGAGAGAAAGAGAGGAGAAAAAGACGAGAGAAAGAGAGGAGAGAGAGAGGGGAGAGAAAGAGGAGAGAAAGAGAGGAGAGAAAGAGAGGAGAGAGAGAGGAGAGAAAGAGAGCGGGGGGAGGGGGGGTGTAACGAAAGCGCAGCAGGTAGGATTAAATGGCATTAAAGCAGCTTTTACTGGACACATTTCACTCCGCAAATGTCAGCTTCCCAAATGTCACCCGGAGCAACACACACACACACACACACACACACACCACACACACACACACACACACACACACTCAGAGGTGGGTGAGGAGAGACCCCCCCAAAAACACAAACACACTTATGAAGTTCTCCTCTGACACAGTATCAGCACACGTAAACACGGCCTTCGCTGCACTAGTGCTGATGGTGAATATGGGCCGTAACGGGCGAATCAGAGGAGGCGTGATCTGTTATTAATCAATTAATAATGTTTGTTATTTCATTTATATGATACTGTAGTCAGGTTTTAATTAAAGGCAAGTGAGTAACTCAAACAAAATGATGCAAATTAGAGTTTCTACCAGCTCTGAGAACAAGAGAATAAAGCTTCACACGCTGCATCTGTAAAATCTAAAACATAAACCTTTACATATACATACATACATACATACATATATACATATAGATTTATAATATATATGAATATGTATAAAATATAAATTTAAGCCTATGAAAAACTAAGATAAAAACAAGCAATAATATCTATAAAAGCTATACTGATCGCAAAGTTTACAATGTAAGCCCTTTTGAAAGCGCCTATATCTCCAATATATATAAATAAAACACCTGACTAACTGCTGCACACTACACACTGCACTACATACTGCACAGCATATACTGCACTCCATATACTGCACACTACACACTGCACACCATACTGCATGCTATATACTGCACTCCATATACTGCACACCATACACTGCACGCTATATACTGCACTCCATATACTGCACTCCATATACTGCACTCCATATACTGCACACCATACACTGCACACCATACACTGCACACCATACACTGCATGCTATATACTGCACACCATACTGCACGCTATGTATCGCACTCTATATACTGCACTCCATATACTGCACGCTATATACTGCACTCCATATACTGCACACCATACACTGCACACCATACACTGCACGCTATATACTGCACTCCATATACTGCATGCTATATACTGCACACCATACTGCACGCTATGTATCGCACTCTATATACTGCACACCATATACTGCACTCTATATACTGCATGCTATATACGGCACTCCATACACTGCACACTATGTACTGCACTCCATATGCTGCACTCCATATACTGCACACTATGTACTGCACTCCATATGCTGCACTCCATATACTTCACGCTATGTACTGCACTCTATGTACTGCACACTATATACTGGGCAAATTTCACACTACAAACACACACAGGCCTGGTTTTACTTGGTGTCTGTTGTGTTGTTGTTCTTCTACAAACTCAC